ATAGTTTAGGTCGACTAGAATAGATTTAGATTGTGCAATTTTCCAAACTCACGTTGGTTTCTCATACAGATTCTCTGTAAACTACGTGTATTCACTGAATTTCACTCTCTGCCTTTAACGGCTTGTTGTAGATCCAATAGCTCCAGCCCCCACCCTTCCTGTGAGCACAGTGTGCTCCGATTGGTCGGGACGTTGTGAATCGCGCTGAGCTCCGTGGAGGTGTTGTTTTCTTGTTTAGCGATACACAGCCAAACACAGCCAAACTCACCCTGAGCACACACAAAGTCACAGCCGAAGTAAAAACAATAAGTGTGGCTTGATATTGAGTAAGAAAAAGGTTTAAAACCGCTGTGAAAATGGGTCTGCAGAGAGAATTTCACCACGATCCCAACTGTCTGTTATCAGCCTGCAGCCAGGGAGGAGAAATCAGCAGAGGTGTGTGTGCGTGTGCGTGTGCATGTGTGTGGTTGGGGGGGAAAGTCCGTGGATTGGTCAATTTGGACCAATCAGCGGGGACTTAACGTAACGGCTCCACGGATTGGTCTATTTTGTTCCGGGTAAGGCTTGACATCATGCCGTACCCGGAAGAATCAAATAGACAATGACGTATCTCCAACGAGGCGTTTTGTGGAGGTATTTTCTGTGTTAGAGTTTTACTCGCTACAGCGTGTACTTTGAGGGTTTTGACTCTGCAGACCGTTTACATGCATAAAAACCTTCATAACACACAAGGCGACGGGTAATAACCGGAAAAGCATGACACGTCTCCTTTAAAGGGATAACCAGAGAGAGCATTGACAAATATCCCACTGTGAAGGTTCAAGTAACTGACACCTTTCTCGATGATTGTAAACATCAAATATTGAAAGGAATATTTTTCATTATCGTCACATTTTTATTTCAAATTTGTTTTCATTATGACCCGTTGCCTCACCCTCTCCAGTCTACTGGCACATGGTTGAGAACTACTGCACTTCAATTTACAAATCAACCCCAGGAGTTTCTGACACTGTCAACAGGGAAAGGGGTTGAAGACTTTCCCAGAGCAAAATGTAGCCATCTTTAGTAAAGTTGAGCATATTAAAACTTACAGGATCTGTAAGCAAACTTAAAAAAATCAGACAGTCCACAACTTTGTTTAAATGCTCAGAGATAACAAGTGTTTTTGTACAACAGTTGTATGATACACAAGAATGTGTAATTTATTTAAAAAGCAGCACTATCTCCATATGAAAATATAAATATAAACTGAACCACCTTCTGGGAGACAATGCTTATCTTAATAATGGATAGTTTCAAAGACTCACCTTTGGGACCCACGACCAGCCCTACAACCCGATATGGTACTCGCACCTGTAGAATTAAAATGACACTGGGTAACTTAGACTACTATGAATCAAACACACAGAGAGCCTCCTATATAAAAACAAATGTGGGAAACATGGATGGTACGATACATAACAAGTAATGTAACTCACTGCATAGGAATGGGAATCTTTAACACAGAACAATGCTATGATTCATGATCACATGTTTTCTGACCTGAATGGTTGTCTGTCCAGGTAGAGAGGGGGTCCCTGTACCCGTCGCAGCAGACAGAGGGCCTGTCTTGTTTCGAGAGGCTCTGATGAGGGAGAAGTGCTCAGCTGCAGAGAGGATCTCCCTCTTAGCCATGCCCACGTCTTCTTTGCGCCCCGTCACAACAAAGACAGGCTGCTCTCCCCTCACCGGTGTCTTAATGTAGGTGTTGGTCTTGGCTCGAAGTGCCTTAATCTTACAGCCTGTAATGAACAAGGGAGACAAGGAAAGAAACAGAGTACTGTTGGATCATTCATTGCTGATTCACGTTTGAAATGTACCACACACACACTGCATTAAGTCAACATATTAAACTTTGATGATTACCTAATTAAAGGTTATGCCATATGCAATTTCCCTTTCCAGTCACTAATGCCATTTCAAAGTTGCATAGCATATACATTAAATATTCCTTTCAGCTGTGGTTGAGTAGTCCAGCATTATTACCAGAGCCATTTCCTGTTGTTGTCAACACTGCAGTCTGTGCACCCTCCCCCAACAAAGACGACATAATAACACTCTCTCAACCCTACTATTGAGCTATGTAAAGTTTATGTAAAAGACCAGATAAAGGCGTTCGATATCTAGGAAAGGGGCAGCGTTTAGTTGAAGTGAGGAGTATTGGTTATGTCACAGAGCTAACTATAACCTACAGCTGATGTGGCAAAGCAATGACGACCTACACACCGCTCTTCATGTTCTCCTCCGAGACAAAGCAAAGCCTCGTTTAGCTCGGCAAGGCACGGCTGGGGACATGTTCGTTGTTCACTGTCCGTAAAGAACAGACAAAACGTCCAAAATACAGACGAGCTGTCAGAGCGAGAAGACACCTGCTAGCTTATAAAACTTGTATTGTAAACTTTTGCTGAGGGTGTTGGGCGAGTGTGATGTTGACCCAGTTAGGAGGAGTGCTAAGCTAGCTGAGCTAAGTGTTGCTGAAAAAGACATGGTTTAATAATATGTCTTATTTATGACTATACAATACTCAACACAAATGTTAGATGTCCCACATAATAATGTAGCTTGAAAAAATGTTAGGTACTATTTATCATAAACAGCTTGCAACAATACTCGTCAAAGCTGGTGACAACAATAAGTTTATAGCTAACGGTAGCGTGTTGACTAACGTTATATTCTTACTTGCAACAAATTAAAGTACAATTTAGCTAAATGTTTGATTGTAACTTTGGGTTTACTTAATATTGCAACATTCTTTTGAAATCACAATTTATTACATTTAACATCCTGTTGTATATCTTATTTCGCTTGATTTACTACTGCATGAACTATCTTCCTACCAAGTTTGGACCAAACTGCCATTAGCAACTTAGCTTTGAAAAGGATTTGACCAAAACCCTCCGAAACACAACAAAGACTCACCCTGTCTGCCCACAATCTCCGCGACGTGCTCGGAGCTGGGCACCGACACACACTCGGTTGTGTTGACGCTCTTTCGCCGAGCCAAGAGCGAAGACTCGGCCTCGTAGCCCGACTCCCCGTACATGCCGGGCGGTAGTATCGCCATGCTGCCAGCCAGTGGTAAGGCGTCGCCGCCGAGCCCGATATCATCTCCCTCTCCGTTGTACAACAAGACCGTCTCGACGTGCGGAGGCTCCATCCCCGAAGGCATCACTGAGCCTCCTGGCCCCGATGGGAGGTGTTGCTGGCGGTGGGCCTGCGCTAGCAACAAGGAGTCGGCTCCAACTTCTAGCTCATCGTCCTCGGGCGCTATGTTCACTTCTTCTCCCGAAGGCGGCCGATGCACGGGCTTCAAGTCTAGGACCGTACCGAGAAGGTTAAAATGAGAAACAGGGGGAAGCTGGTGGAGGTGGTGGTGATAGTGGAGGCTCTCGTCTAATTGTTCGGGGTTCTGGCTCTGGGTGCCGTGGTGCTCCTCAAGGCCCATACCGGCGAAAGCGTGCACTAGAGGCGGTGGGACCTCGGACTCTCCCTCGTCGGCCTCCAGCAAAGATGTGCTACTCGGCATTATGCAAAGCTTTTATAATACTGTCTTTAGACGGAAAACGATACAAATAATTAATCTAATTGTTTTTGGTTCAGAAAAAAATAAAAAGCGACCCGCGCCTGTTGGTTGAAATGTGTGGCTTTTGTTTTGTCTTTCCAGCTCTCCATGCAGCCCTCCTTACACTGTAATCTCGTAAAGCTGGTTCACGCGATACTTGGTTTTGGGGTCAGGCCAGGCGTGTATTCACAACTATCAGAAAGACGCACTCGCCGCACATCTTGCAGTGGTTCTGACTTCTGTCATGAATGATTCATTATACTATATTTGCCAATGGGCTACACATCCCGAGGTATCGGGAGAATAATTCCGTAAGGCCGCTTCATAGTCGACACAATTATTGTGGCATTAATATACCCTTTTTTTGGTGAGATCTAGAGAAAAAAAAAGGTAGGGATAAGTAACATGTTATTAGAAGGCTTAGATTGAGGGCAAGGACAGTATGTTACCTAATAAAGATGCAACCAATATGTGTTGAACATCAATGGTCTGACCCTAGCCACCATGTATGTTTTCGCAGGTAAGATGCCAATTAGGCTTTTCCTCAAATTGCAACAAGATGTTGGTTTGATAAAAACTAGTAGGGCCACGACTTTTTGTAGGGCAAACTATTCCCTAACTTTGAAAGAAAAGTAACTTGAATACAACTGTGATCTTCAAGTACATTCATTTAGATATTGGACATGATTTCAATTAACTGGTTGTCCAGCTTAACAACAAGCTAGAGAAGTCTGACATCACCACTCCACTGCTATCTGCTGTCCACAATAACCAAGTCAATCACTCTAACGGTTAATGTAACTGCAGTGCACCACACACTTCCCGTGGCTAATATCATCAGTATCTTCGACATCCAAGAAAACCCATGTTATTGTACACTGACTCTAATGCATGGACAGTCACTCTTAGGTTAGGGACTCGCCAACAATATACAAACGTACATCCATGAATAGCTCAAATACAAGTGCATAAAAAACAACAACAATTCATTAAATGAATAGTACCTGACGGTCTCTTCTGACATTTATTGGTGATATTGCAGTGGACATTGTTGAAAGTGTTTTCACATTTTATAGAGAAATCACATGAATACAAAACAACCCTCTGAGAGCAGAACCGCTTACATAATCTTGGTCAATGCCAATAAATGGTTTCATCACTAAAGGCTACATCAAACTCTATTTTTTATTCTGGACTTCTATGGGCGGATTTTGCTGTAGTGGATTTTGGTGATAAAATATATTTTGCAACAAGCGAGCCTTATTAGTAAAGTCACGGCAACTCGTTAACTGCATAACATGAGACAATTTTAAGTGCATACATACAGTATTGTATTTAACCAAACCCTGTTTAGCAGCAGCCACGTTGGAGTGTACTATTGACCAATGAGAGTGCGCAGAGGGCGGGCTTTCACAGTTGACAGCCAATGACGTGTCACGTTTGTGATACGTTACTTAGCATTAGTTGCATCCGGGTGAGCATTTTGAGGTGAGTAGCTAATGCTGACTGAGACAAAATAATGAATCAAGAAATACTTATCTTTGAATTTACTTTGGCTTCAATGACCATGAATGTGCCAGTAATACAGAAATACGCAATAATAAATTGTTGAAAATTCTGAGAGGCTTTCTCTCTCTTTATAATACAAAGGCCACCCAGCTAGCTAGTTAGCGTTAGCTTTAAGCTAACAACTTGTCGCTAATACCAATGTCCGGGTTTGCTTTGTCACTACTTTTGCCTTATTTCCTCCCTTGGTATTGATTTGAGTTTGTTGTCTGTTATGGTCTATTCCGGCAGGTTTGCTCAGGTTTTTGCTTTGAAACTTGGCTATCGGTCTTCAGGATGTACGGATCGTTTAGGCTGGTATTGCAGGTGCTGTCGGCCCAGCTTCTCTGTGTGTGGGTGCTGGGCTCCGAGCTAACTTTCGAGCTGCCAGACAACGCCAAGCAGTGTTTCTACGAGGACATCACCATCGGCACCAAGTGTACACTTGAGTTTCAGGTGCGTGGGTCTAATGAGAAGTTCCTATATTTGAAATATTGATTAATTTTCTGATCAACAGCGTCATATCAGCAGTTCTCTGACTGATGACAATGTGGTAATAAGCAAGTAAAAAGAACACACCTTTTAAAAAGTCTGTTTTTAACACACTATCTTTTGTCTGTTTTCAATAATTGTGTTTATTAATGTAGTCAAGTCAGTATTATTTACATATCCTAAGATCACACATTTGCTCGAAGGGGTTTTTATTATCTGTACACCATACGATATTCTCTGCTTTTAGACCCTCGATTGTGACGTGCAGTAGATATGATATGTACAGAATAAACAACCTTAATAAAGTGCAAGTAGACAATCCATACAATAAACAAATGATGTATAGAATTTGAAGACTGACCTCCTCTCCACCATGTAACCTGGAAAGAGAACAGGCAACACGGACATACAGAAACAAAACTAATACACTTTATCAACTTAGATAGTACGATATTGAAACAAACTCACAAGGGGTATATAAATAGATGTCTTTATGTTTTCCCAGGTGGTAACAGGCGGCCATTATGATGTGGACTGTCGTTTGGAAGACCCAGAAGGCACTACACTCTACAAGGAGACGAAGAAGCAATATGATAGCTTTACCTTCACCGCAGCCAAGAACGGAACCTACAAGTTCTGTTTCAGCAACGAATTCTCCACTTTCACACACAAGACCGTTTACTTTGACTTCCAGGTCGGCGATGACCCTCCACTCTTCCCCAATGAGAACAGGGTCACTGCTCTCACTCAGGTAAGCTCTGTCGGTATATATGCACATTTATTTTATCTGACCAAGAAAAAAAAGACTAATATCTAAACGGAATGTGGTTTAGTGAAAAATGATACACCTTCAACATCTCTTTCACTTTACTGTTGATTTCATTAGTAAAACAAATTTTTGGGTACCTATCTGTGCATGTAGTTTTGTGTTGTCTGCAAATTCGCAGCCAAGCTCCATACCCTTTTTAAACTGATTATTTTATATCCATAAACTAGTTAGACACTTGCTTTTTATTCCTACAGGTGATGGTTATGGGGTCAGATTGTCTGACTAACATTCACTTGTGTCTCCTCATTTAAGAAGTTTGAGTATATTTTAACACTTTTTGCTCACAAAGGTCCTTCTAGTTTGTGAATCAAAGTTAGAATGCTCTTGTAACAGTCAATATATCTAATGGGCGGCTTGGCTTTTTCTTTACCCTGTGCAGATGGAATCAGCCTGTGTGTCTATCCATGAGGCCCTAAAGTCGGTCATTGACTACCAGACTCACTTCCGCCTCCGTGAGGCCCAGGGACGCAGTCGGGCAGAGGACCTGAACACCCGTGTGGCTTTCTGGTCCATCGGAGAGGCCCTTATCCTTCTGGTGGTCAGCATCAGTCAGGTGGTGCTGCTGAGAAGCTTCTTCTCTGACAGGAAAACCACTACAACACGCGTAGGATCGTAACAGTCTCTGAGCAACGGGATCTGATACAGCATTTTTTTGTCTGTTCATTGACTAGTGTGCATAGAGTAGGTCTGAATATCAGTGCTGATCTGAAATTAGATCATATCAAACTGCCAAGTCGTACAATCTGACATGTCATCCTGATTCAGCACTGGTATTCTTACAAACGTTATGCAAATGAGTCTTAAGCTAAATGGTTACGTATGTGTAAAATGTATTTGAGGGGTAAAAATAGAGAACCTGAAAAAAAGGATTTCTTGCGTTGCTTAAAATGATCTGCATTGGAGGCAGTTTAAGGTCCTATAGTTGAAGTAAACTTTACAAATGCGTTTTAATTTGATTTGTATCTTTACCCCTGGCATCTCAAATTCTCCACACCTCGTCTATTTCCTCTTTCAGCCAAAAGTGTGCACTGAATTTACCAAGAGGGTTGAATATGTGACTAAACCTACTCATAATGTAAGGGTTGTGACTGTATATTTCCTTATGTGCATAGCAATAGGTTTCTTAAACCACACTGGCATGGCAAAGAGTGTTTCCCCATAAAGGTTGCAATTGGTTTTGAAGAAAATGTTGCTTCTTTCTTTATTAAACCTCACTGTGTTGAGTTAGAAACAGTAGATAATGTGTTGTTTTATCATCTTTGTCATTTAAGATGAGTTGGTGTATGTTGTATAGATTATAGCCATCTTTTTATTTTGATACAAGTTTGTATTTGGGCCAGATGATTGAATTTAAAGATACACATAATTTATCCTAAATAACTGCAGACTCAATTTTTAAACAAAAATAAATATTTATTGTTTTTTTAATTTTGGATACTATTTGCTTGATTACACATTTAGGTAAAGGCATGTTTCAATTTGAACACATCTCGGTGAATTCTGTACTGCAAATGTTATAATTGTCTTTGTGACTGTGTGGAAGGTGAAAAAGAAATAACAGATTTTAAAATGTTGTTTTAAAAGGACACATTTTGTGTGTTGAGTGGCAATGCCAGCAATTACAAGTACAGCAACTTGTTATAACACGTGTCTTTCACTGGTTCCTCTGCAATGTCATTTATATAGTTTTGCCTTTGCTGTTTAAAGTGTAACAACTCATTTGTAATGTAGGCTAATTTTGCTCTCGATTATAAATTAAAGTTGTTCTGCAAAATATTGCTTCTATATATGAGGAAAAATACTTAAACATTAAATCGGGTCTGGATCTGAAACTTAGAGCCTGCAGAAAGTCCTGCAGGTGGTGTAGTAAATGGAGGCTTAGTTACATCTAGTGTGGCTTAAGCCAGGAATCATGTGAAAGTCGGTGGGTCATTCTTTTATCCACGACTTAAACACAAAATCTGGCAGCTCGCAGCCAGTGGCCTGAAGGAAACATTAAATATCTGAGTAAATTGATTCATTTTAAACTCCACCTGCAAAGTAGACAAGTTCAAAACATAACCTGGCAAATCCAAATCATCACTGTTGTAATGTGAGATCAATATGACCTTTATGATACTTTATATTTGACAAAGACAGACTTTTAAAAATCTAAACCACTGAAAAAAAACAACAAACTCAACACTTCAGATAGTGCTACAAGTCTTGTTAAACTGTCAGAACTGATGCTCAAAACAACTATACAATTGTATTCTATTGATTTATTATTGATCTTTTTGTGTTTTTTGGTGTGCTACTATCAAATGTTAATTGTCTGTTGTGGTAGGTGTTGCAGTGCTGGCGTTTCATTTTAAGGTTTACACTGTAACGGCTCATCTTGAACACAACATCTTTTGTAAATCATTCTGGAAGCTTACTTTAGTTGGGATGGCTGAATAAACTTTCTTTTCGATTGTCGTTGTATGCTTTTATTTAATATTCAGTAATAAAATCGCTTTTCAATGTGGATGAAGGTTTTGGAAACATCTTCTTGTCATGCTTCTCTTGTCCTGTAGGGAGAGATATAACCAAAGCCTTCACAGTGAGATGTGCACCTATACAACATTAAGAAATATCTCTTAATCTATCAGATACATACGATATATTCTACCGGTTTTTGTTTGTTGTTTAGTTCCCCTTTACATATTATTTATATCTTTAAAAAGTCCCTAATCATGAATAGCAGCAATCGCCTTTGTTGTTTTTTATCGACTACGTCACAGTGTTCCTGCTCTGTGATTGGTGGTCAAACATGTCAATCATTTACGCTAGTCAAGAAAAAAGACTGCGTTGGGTTTACAAATTGTCGGAAACTGAGTCGTGATCATCCGGTCCAGCCGTGGGTGGATAGCATTCCCTATTTACCTTCCCCTCCACTGAGATTATTGTCGCGCCAGCTTGCCGAGTGGCTCCGTAGACGACGGTGTTTCGTCGTTTCGCGGGTAACGTCTCGCTTGTTTCTCGACAGTAGTGTGAGAAAGAAACACGGCTAGGACTCCGGGGAAATCCCCTGAGTGAGTGGCCGAAGAACGACCGTCTTTTCCAGGCTAAGCTAACAGCAGCACGGCATTACGGGTGGGGGAGGATTTTTTAATATTTCGGCCCTCGGAAAGCTAATATAAATAACAGGCGTGGGTTGTGAAACAATGACAAGCGCAGAAAGTATACCGAAGAGAGGAGAGGTTATCGGAGGGGAAGACATGTCAGTGGACGAATATCGGTGTAACGTTCAATAAAGAGGTGTAAAGTAGATCAGCTAATGGAAGCTAGTCGCTAAATTGATCAAGGAAGTTGACTAGCCACCTTGCTAACTCGGCGACAAATGTATTACTGGACCAAGGGTCGCCTGAAACTCTGAGTTATCCATATGTTTTAACATATTCACATAGTGGTGATGACCCCTTTAAAGCCGGAATTAATACAAGTCACACATTTCTGTGGGCTTTTAAAAAAAACTAAAACGCGTCAGCTGGTTTACTGTTGGCTAGTGATTCAGAGCTTGTTGTAAACAAAGGGTCCCCAGCTCCACCTGTCAACAGAGGCGCTACACCTCGAGGTATCGTTGACCCATTGTGTCACGGACATCGCTACCTTTTTATTTAACTGTGACACTAACCCTCAGAAATGGATTTAAAGACGGCAGTATTTAACGCAGCCAGGGACGGTAAGCTCCGGCTGCTTCAGAAACTGTTGGAGAACAAAGATGGACACGACGTTACTAAGTTGATGGGCGATAAAACAAACGGGGCCACCCCGCTGCTCATGGCCTCACGATACGGGCACCTGGACCTGGTAGAGTACCTGCTGGAGTGCTGCAGCGCTCCTGTGGAGGTCGGGGGGTCCGTGAACTTTGACGGGGAGACCATCGAGGGAGCGCCCCCTCTCTGGGCCGCCTCGGCCGCCGGTCACCTGAAGGTGGTCCAGTCCCTGTTGGGCCACGGAGCTTCTGTCAACAGCACCACCCTGACCAACTCTACACCCCTGAGGGCAGCCTGCTTCGACGGTCACTTGGACATTGTGAAATACCTGGTGGAGCACAAAGCTGACCTGGAGGTGGCCAACAGACACGGCCACACGTGTCTCATGATTTCCTGCTACAAAGGACACAAGGAGATAGCTCAGTACCTGCTGGAGAGAGGAGCAGATGTCAACAGGAAGAGTGTCAAAGGTGAGAGGGTAGCACAGATAATTTAGCATAAGAAAGTTAAGTTGTCTCATTTAATTCTGAGAAAAGACACTGAGGGTGGGTAGATGCATTTCAGGGCTCTAATGTAATTTGAATCACCTATTCCACAGTAAGTGTTTCCAGACATATGATGGCACATTAGATGATAAAGGTATGTCATTTTCTCATAGCAGCCATTTCAAATAAAGAAACCCTGATCATATTGTAAACAGGCAAAATGCACTCATACATTACAAGTGAACAAAAATGATGACTCAACAAAATAACATGAACTGGTTTCACAATGGAAAATTATCTTGATAACTACGTCAGCTTTTCTTTGGGTGTGTAATGGAACTATTTTATTGTAAGGGTTTTATGAATAGGCTACATGCAAACAAGTGTCCATCTGTATTTATGGCATTGTATTTTATGAAATAAGAGTCCACAGGATTACTTGCAGTGAAGCATTAGTGATATCCTGCATTTTGTTCTATTACTGTCGATGTGTAAAAAGGCTAACCAGTTTTCATGGTGGGAAAAATAATCAACAATCCATATTGGTTTGTGCGCATTTGATGGGTCAGAATTGTGTTTGCTTATATGTGGTTGACACTCAATTTATTGCTGTCAGCAAAAAAAACTAAGTTGAGTCAATAACGGCCCGTCCACACACGGGCATGAAAAAAATCTTTCAAAGCTTCGCCCATTCACTTGAATGGGGTGACGTAGAAGATTTTTAATCTTCGCCGAACTGCATTATGGGGGAGCTGAGCATGGCTTTGCAAGCATCGTGAGCATCAAAAGTTGAGCAATGTTCAACTTTTGAAGCTGGCATCAGCCAATCAAATCTCGTTTATGCCAATCCCGCCAGTGCAAGCGCTAGCCAATCAAACCGCGTGCAAGATCCGTCTAGTGTAAATATGACGTCACGTTCTCGTTGTAACTCTCGTTGCGGCTCGGAAACACATCTACAGCAGTAACATGATGCAACATACACATTAATGCAGCAGCAATATTAATAGAGAAACATCAGACATAATAGTAAAACACTGCAAGGGAAATTTTTATTGCACCAGGAGCTATCTTGGGACTTTTACTGCGACAACGTTGACTTGCCTGTGAATAAAAAATAAACCATAGTGTTGGTGATCTACAGTGTTGTCATTCTTCTTTGAACACCTACAAGACCGCTAACACCCTATTTCAACAATCACACTCCCTGTCATTGACATAATTAATAGATAGTTTAGCTTCTCATCATCATTTGCTGTGGCCCACTGATGTTAACGATCGTAAGTGAAAGGCTGCCTCCCAAGCGTAAACATTCAGCCAAACTCTCGCGAGAGTTTTACACAAGACGGATCCTTTCTAGCCATAACCGAGCCAGACCGCAGTTCATTTCCTCATATTCCAAAAGAGATATTACGGTAGCAAATCACCCGGTTCTTTACGACCAGAACTATTTACCGGGATACAAACGGAGGAACCAGGCATGGAGGGAGGTGGCAGAGACAGTGGGTGAAACTGGTAGGTTTTCGCCTGTTTGGGGAGTTTATATCCAGTTTACTTCGTTTTAACATTGCTATTGCTTTGTATGTCGGGGGCGGGAGATTCATGTGATTGGTTGTTGGTCGCGTTGCTCGCAAAAAATCGCAAAGGTTCAGACACGCCCAGCATCAAGATTTTTTTCATGCCCGACGGGCCGTAAGTTATCCCGACCAGCAGAATGCAGGTGCTCTATTGTGCTCAGACTAACTCATGTGTTTTGTATTGTGTGTGTGTGTGGTGATTGAGGTGGAAAGCAGTTATACTTTCCTTCTCTTCAGACTATTGCCTCTCCCATAATTAGATATGAAGTGGAACATTTTCAAAACAGTAGACTTTGTGTTGATGGAGGGAGACGAGCCAGCAAGAAAGAAAATAGTGAGGACACCAGGCTCACATCTGATATGAACTGCTAAAAGTTCTGTGGTCAGCTGGCTCTCTTCCTCTCAGACAAACACCTGTTGTACTGTCCTCACTTGGGCTTACGGGAGTATTTAGACCAATAGCTTGTTTTGGAAGAAATTTCTGGATTACTGTTTTTTTTGTTGTGAATTTCATCCTGACAAGCAAAGTGGACAAGGCGTCAACACTATTGGCAACTGGTTTTCAGGAATCTCCAAAAGAGCCATTGTTGCAAATGTACGTCAACTTGTTGATGAAGGGATATTATCCAATGTTGCAGACAGTATTTCATATTTGAAATATGTAAAAACATTGGCGAATCTGAATTCCAATTTTGTTGTCATTTGACAGTTTTATCAATTGAAAGCATTTAGCCACCCAAAACCGGCGCAAAATATTTTCTACAATGTTAGCCCAGCTTGTCTTAATCCCCTCTGATAAAGCAAAGGAGACCCTGCCTTCTGGCTNTCCTAAAATTGTCTTCTGTCGTGAGTAAGATAAAAAAAAAAGATTCTGATCAGTGTGGTTTTGTCAGTCTCCTGAGAATATCCTTGACTCGCCCTGTGTGGTCTGGGGGCTATACTACGAAGCAGGATTTTCGTTTAGCCGGTTCTCTTTTTAGCAGGCTAGATCTCTATGGTAACTTATGCTGTGCGGCTAACCAGGGGGGTATACTACGAATCTAGTTCAACCTATCCTGGATATGTTTTGAGTTATCCGGTTGACTTAATCCAAAACAAAGCCGCTCTCGCTAAACTGTCCTACAACGCTGGCGATCAACTCGATCGCTCAAGCCAGCCGTGTCCTATCTAGTTAGGTGCGCGTTCACATGAAAGGGGTGGTATCCGGAGCATTCGACCAATCACAAACATGGAGAAGCGTACTGACAGCGCAGCGTCATACTTCCTGAATGAAAAGTCAACAAAATATTAGACAAATATGAAGAAGTTAAACTTTAAACATCCTTAACTTAAACACTTTATCCAGGATAAAAGCCACATAGCTGCACCTGCAAGGTGAATGCTGGTAAAAGAAAAAGTGTTTGAATGCGTACATTAACAGGTTTATGATATCACTGCCCCGTCTAAGACACGATCTGACTTTAATTACATTTGACTCGAGTGTTTCGTCAACTTAATGTGTTCCTTAAAATAATACTTCTGCATACAGTATGTGACACTGAGTGTTGCACAGCCAGATACGGCTCAGATAAGGAAATATATATGATACATTATGATCTGTGATATGAATGATAATGGGACACATCGACGTCTGCACTCACAGTGCCGCGGACTGTAGGCTA